TAGGTTAGAAAACGCTCACGCTCATGAACGCTCATATGAGCGTGAGCTGTACAGTCCTAATTTAGATATCTAATAATGAAATTAGTTTTTCTAATATAACCAATTCGATGTATAGATGTTGAAAAAGCTTTTATCCTTTTCTTTCTCTTACCCGAAATTGGTCGGGAGATAACAGGATCAGGTAATGGCGACGATGAAGAACGAGCTGATTCAATTTGTTTCAGTTGAATCATGTGAAGATTGTCACCTTGTTTTAGAAAGCCCGTAATTTTGAATTCAGTTCCAGGAAGAAGAAGTACTTCTTCTTCGAGTGGATAAGCACTATGATTACGAATGTTTTTGCCTGAATGACAATCGATAGCAAACATTGTTCTTGGGCCCATTATGCCATACAATTGTTCTGATTGTAAAACAGTAATTGTAGTAGTACACGATGAAAAGCTTGGCCATTTTATTTTTTCTTTCGTTCTATACTGGTTACTTAAGTCTAATTTGACTCCTCGATAGACAACTTCACGAATAGATGGAAGATGTGAAAGTGCAGTATGAAGCAGTTTAAGATACAATAACCATGGCTTAAGTTGTTGTCTATTTTCTGTCCGTAGAATACGATTCAATATAGCATATAGAGGTTCACCTTCTAACTGTTCTTCTATCGAATAGAGCCTGATTGCACCAGACATGTCTTTTGTGAGTCCATCTGCAGGTGGATTTTCGCATCCTTCCATAGCACTTTTTGCATAGCTCTCAATTTTAGGTAGCAAAGATATCAATGGTTCTACAGCAATATCGAGCGGAACAAGTGGTATTTCTTTATAGTCAGTTATTGTTGAGAATGTATTGTAAAAGCCTTCAGTCATTTCTATGTTGCGCAAAATGCGTTGTTGAGCACTTCGTGTTGCTTTCCCAGTGGCCATGTTAAACAATAAATGATTTGAATTACTATGCAATGAATAGATTATCTGAAAGAAATTGAAAAAAAACACCTAGCATTGAGAATAAGTAATATTGTTTGAAAAAAATGAATGTGCTGACAAATCATCCTAGTCAAAGTTTGCACAATTTCTGTTTCAAATCTAAATGTTTTATACTTGAAATATAACATCGTAGAAAGATGTCTTCCCTTGATGCTAGATCATGTGAAAGACTCGAACTTTTGACTAGTTTTACCTGTATGAGATATTATCACCCTACTTTCTAAACTCTTCATTGGTAAATTTTGTATTATTGGATGTTCATTTCATCTGAATGAAACGGTGTTCGGACGTCATTCTGAATTAAAGTTCGGTTGAAAAATAACTTGTTGTAGGTCAACTCAAATGAAAACAAATCAAAAGTTATCTGGAATTTATTTCACGTCTCTTTTTCTCATATCTGCAACAACAATAAAAGTCATGCACTTCTTTCTGTCTCAAGTATCAGTAATTACTTTCGATGAAACTTTGAACTTGACTGTCATCTTGTCAAGATAAGAAATTGATTTATTTTTTTCATCCAAACATGTTTATCGTAAAAGAAATTCAGCAATTTCAGAATTACCAAAAGAGACAAGAACTGAAAAGTAGCTGAAGTCAAACATAATTGATGACATTCTATTTATTTCTTTTTAAGTGTCTAAATATTTATACAAGAAAACTCAACTGTCATCCAGGGTTAAAGTACAATGATATTCGACTGAAATGATTTATTGCGAATTTAATGTCTAAATACGCTTCATTAGGACAGGATACACCACTATATCTGCATTGCACCATTAAAGAGTCTTTGCTCTTTGATTAAACACATGTAATGATATTGGTTTGATAGTAACAAGTCGTTGTATTTCACTACGTCTGCGAAATACCTTACCGTCGCATTTTCATGCGAAGTAAATGCTACACAGATTAGGGATATTCTTATTTAGTCATAATATTCACTGAGTTCTCGGAGTTTTGATCCAGATTTTGCCACGTCTGACATAGTCTGCAAGTTCTTTTCTCTTTTTATCCTGAGCTGCCAATGTAATGTTCATTACGTGATGTATTTGTCATCATAATTATACAAATTGAATTTGTATTATTTTTTGGTAAGTCTCATCAATAGAACAACTTTGTTTCTACAATACAACTGTAGTCAGTAGTTATGACCGGTTTCAATCTTGCTAAAAGGCATCATCAGATAATTGCAATTCCTTGTTTCTGTCATTTTTTTCTTATGCACGTAAATATAACACTCTGAAATGCTTACATGATAATATAATGAAAAATTAGGATGTTTCAATATTAAGCAACAACATAAATGCGATGAGTTTTACAGTTGCCACCAATATCATTATATGGAGTATTGACTCTGGTTTTGTGGGTGTAACAAAATAAATACAGCAACAAAAAGAAAAAAGCATTAAAAGAATTTCAGAAATTTTAGAAGAAGCAAGCAAACGAAATGTAGAGAAGAGAACCAGAAGCGAAAGAGGACTCTCGTAAACGTTTCAAGGACAGAAAAAAAAAGAAAAAGCAGCAGCAAAAAAGAAAAAAAGAGGAAGGAAGGAATAAAGATTCTCTATGCTCTTTTCTTTGTATAAAACTACTTATTTCGACACATGATATCCATGTTAAGAGAAGCGATTCATTCTTTTCTATCAATTGCTTTACATGATTACTACGAAAAAACTGGCCAAAGTAATTCTTCTTTCTTTTATGAAAATCATCCCAAAGAAAAACATTATTATAGAAGAGTGAGCAATCAAGATCCATTGTGGGTGTGGCTGTGGGGTGTGGATATGGGTGTGGGGTGTGAGTATGGGAGTGGGTGTAGTATTTCTTTTAATCCACACCCACACCCACACCCACACCCCACACCCACATCCCGAAGTCAATTTTAGTATGATCTAACATTCAAAGGATCGAAAAAAGGGGTATATCTAATTTTTATACAATACAGAGTTTTACATCCTTTGACTTTAGATGAACATACAGATAAGAAAAGATTTGCTTCCATCGGGAATCTAACCCATGACCAAAACTGGTTGACATGACCAGTACTCTAACCATTGAGCCAAGGGGAAAAAAGCAGATCCTGGATCCCAGGATTCTGGTGGATCATAATGGACCCTAAGGAATTGTAGAATATATTATTTGAACTGTGCCGAAGAAAAAGTGGAAGAAACTGATCCTTATCGATTCTAGTGTTATTTAATGTTCCATGAAATTAAAGGAAAAAAGGGCAAAGTATCTTCAGACTTTGTGACTAACACCCCAGGACGATGATTACAACCGTTGTAACGACCAAAAACGATGACGTATACTGTCGTTTCATATAGTTTACGACCGTAAACAGACGTAAATTAACGTTTTGGTAGCGAGTGTTACGACCGTTTTTTATCGCATGGTATACGATTATCAACGGTCGTAAAACAGCCTGAAAATCGGGTATCCAATCGTTTACGATCATTTACGATACGATGAAAAACGGTCGTAATACTATCGCTGCCAAACAGGTGAAAAACGTTCCAAAACGGGGTGTGGGTGGGTGTGTGGGTGTGGGTGGGGTGTGGGTGTGGGTGGGGTGTGGGTGGTGTGGGTGTGGGTGTGGGGTGTGGGTGTGAGGTGTGGGTATGAGTGTTGATCAAGGGATCATCGACACCCACACCGACACCCACACCCATACGCTTTCAAGCATTGTTACCGGAACTTTTAGTCAGCTCTAAGTAGATAAGCTAAAAGACGTTAGGCGCGTATGAAATATTTATTATAGAGAAAGGAAAGAATGACTCTCAGAATGAAGAGACTCGTGTTCCAGTGCGAGTAATGACACACGAAGTAAAAATCGAAATTGATAAATATAAATCGAATAGGTGGTACTCTTTTCTATCAGCAATCGAAGAAAAATACGATGGAACGGAAAACGTCTTTTGATATTATCTGTTTTGCCTCTATAAACCTAATAGTCTAACATTTTCGAAACTTTTCAATGCCAAAGAAATTATATCGGGAAAAAATGAGATGGTGCAAGACCTCTATTACTACTATGAAAAGCAATTCAAAGCGCCAGAAACAAATCCAGCAGATCACAGTGACGTAGAAATCGAAAAAGAATGCAACTCACTTTCAAATAAACTAGAGATTTCTGATGAAAATATGGAGAGAACAAGCACCTTTGAAATCACAAAATATATAAAAAAAACTCAAGTCGAAAAAATCTTCAGGTGTTGATTTCATCCCGAATTATATGGTTAAGTGGTTGCTACCAAGCTATGTCACGTATTTGGCTCAAAAAACATCGATATCCGGATGTATGAGCATTAGCAACAGCGCTTACCGTACATAAACTGAAAGCAGACATTCCACAATGTGAACAAAGAAGATCTATATCTCTTCTTGCTACACATTCAAAACTTTTTGAAAAAGCGATACTAGAAAGAGCAAGATATTGGATAGTGAATGACCAGCTAGTTCCAGCTGAGCAGTCGGGACTTCGTTCAGGGTGTCTGCTTCCTACTCGAGTTCTCTCTATCTATTAGGAGGTGAGCAATAATCTGACAGAAAATGTACCAACACTTGCCCTATATAAGGATTATCAGAAAGCATATGATAAAGTGTGACATGTAGCAGTCTTAGTTAAGTTATATCGATTTGGTATACTCCTTGATTTGCTGAAAATTATTGCGTCATGGTAAAAGGGCAGCGAGCTTCTGTAGCTTTTGGCGACAAGAGCTCAAATGTATTCTATATTTTCACTGGTCTCCCGCAAAGTAGTAGTCTCAGGTTCTATCTATTTATTGTGAGGTATTAGTGTGGGCATCGGTGTCGGTGTAAGTGTGGATGTGGGTAAAAAAACTTGCTAGCGCAGCCCCTTTGGGGCTGAAATATGGAACTCACATATCTTCTTTACTTTCACTCTGCTGATGGCAACATATATAATATTTAAATTCTGTCAAAGACGATAATTCTTTTCTAATGATAATTGATTGTTAGGAAATGTTGTCGTTTTTCATTTATATACTTCGAGTAGAATCTTTTTTTGTGAAGTTGCTATGGTCTGTAAGGGGGAACTGTCTGTAGTGAGGGGGAGGGGGTATGTATGTAATGTTCCTTTTGGTTGCTATGTGTCTGTAATGGGGAGGGGGAGCCGCAAAAACTTGACCTTAAAACTTACACTCACTATTTTCTTCGAAAATATATGTGAGTTCCACAAAAGTTCCATATCCATACCAGAGATGACCATCGCGACTGAAAATCTGCCGCTGCCGCGCCGCGGACTTAGAAAAAAAGCTGCCGCACCGCAGCCGCGCCGCGACGGATTATAAAAAAATGTTGCCGCGCCGCGATGACTTATTAAAAAAAAACGTTGCCGCGCCGCTGCCACGATGAATTATAAAATAAACGTGCCGCGGCGGTTTACAAAAAAGTGTTTCTAATTTCACTGCTGCGACTATATTTCACCAGAGATATTGGTACTAGTCCATCAGATTCATTCAGTCTAGGGGTGTTTCATTTGTAAACCCTGAAATTCTATTAAATTCATGCAGTTTTTCAATGTTCTCCAAAAAAATCCTGCCGCTGCCGCGATGGTCTTTTAAAAAACCTACCGCTGCCGCCACCGCCATCACGGCAGCGGCAGCGCCGCGATGGACATCTCTGATCCATACCCACACTCACATCCTTGATAACAGCAAGGAAAGCGGATGAGAGATTTCTTCGTTATGTTGATTGTAGGAAGAAGCAATATCATCATTATTACTAACAGATGACCAGCTCATCATTTATCGACAGCATTGAGCAATCGCACAATGGAAAAGACAGCAAGTATTGAAAAGATTAAACTATTTTCTTCTTTAGAGATAATAAAGCTCGCCTCTTTAGTTTAAAAAAAATCATAAAAGAAATCATCAGGATATCGTTCAGATATCATGATATCCCTACGTAGTGTGATTGAATACGATTGTTATAATGTACAAGCGACATCAATCTTGATCTGATGTTTCTTTCAAAAAGTTCATTACTCGTCTTTCTACTTTGTTTTTTTGGAAAAATAAATAACGAAAGCTATCACAGTTGGTCTATTATCATGTCAGTATGATAAACGAGAACCCAATTATGTACGCATCGTTCACTCCGATAAGGTAGATACGCTAAAAACTTTATTTTGTTTTCCAAGGAGGTATAAATACAGAAAGCTAGATGTGAATGGATGCAAGTGATAAGAAAAAAGTCAACAATCCATAGCCGCCCATGTCCACACTTCATCTTTCACCGCATAGATACCTATTTTCGAGTATTACATAGATAAGTATTACGAATAATTTTCTTCGTATTATTTGCGATGAAATATGATCTTCATCGAACATTATATAAATCTTCAGATGATGACGATGTATTACATTCGTAGATACGTGTGCTTACTCGATCTGGATCTAGAAAATTATAATTGACGTGTTGATATTGTTTGAAAATAAAAAAAGAAAAAAAAACATTCTGTGAAGGTGGCTAGTAGCACATCGCCTGCACGCGTATATATTTATTTTCTTTCCTTAAAGAAAAACACAAAATCAAAGCGCTGAATATTTACTTCAAAAGCTTCAAAAGCGTCTAGCAATAGTTATTAATGTTTAAATCGAGACTGACTATTCAGAATCAAATATCTTTCAGAAGTTAGAGCGTCGACAATAATTAGAGTGTTTGATTCCGTGGAAAACAAGAAAAATGAATTTTACATGGAATATAAAAATATGAAATGAAATTTTAGTAGACTTTCTAACAGTGAAAAAAACGAAATTCGATACGAACAATGCGATCGAGAAGTGAACGATGGGTACCATTGACTAGTTGATTTCGTAGTCATAACATGAGAAAGTTAAAGAATGAATCAAGCCAGTTTGACTTGAACCGACGAAGTTCAAATGTATTTGTTTCACTATCTAGAAAAATGGATCGACAAAATGAAGTATGAAACCGAATCTTCACCATTTCAATACTAATAATACCTCGATTATTTCAATAAACTTATTGAGTTGCATGTCTTTTTAAGTTTCCAAAAAAATGCTGCAAATTGTACTTTGGATTGTTTATAGACGTTCATTTAATTATCTTTTCATTATTCAATGACTCATTTACAAAAACAAAATGAATAACATTTTTGAGGTCATATTCTCTAATCTACGTATTATAGCAATCTGTTTTATATAACAAGTAGAGCCAGATTTTGCTTTGCTGACGTTCTTTTGCTTAGTAAAATAATGTTTTGCATCAGACCTTCGCACGTGTTTATTGATAAAGAATATAAAAACAGCTTTTCTTTTGCATTCTCAGCCCAAAAACAATATGTCCGTGTTATTACTAATTCTGTTGTTAACGACAGGCAGCAGTTATAGTCTTGAATGTAGAACTAACTGTTCGCTTGGTCCTTTCTATTTTTTCCGACCATTTAATATTCCTGATGGGCAATGCCAACAACGTAAATCTGGACTTGTTTGCTCCGTTAAAATGACATTCAGATATGATAGTAAATTGTATTATGTAGATTTCGATACTTCTTCATTATCAACTGATTCATTTTATATATCAGATGGAAACTACCTAAGTTACAGCATTAATTATCAATGTTCTAAAGGAATTGATTGTGTTATTCCATATACACAGAACAGAATCTATGAAATGTTTGATCGTGTTTACAATCCCCAAATCATCTATGGAGAGATTGCTCCAATAATTGAGAATCCTTCAAGAAATGGTACAATTCAATGTTATAATACAAGAAATGCAACTATCACATGTGGATCGAAAGAATTCTGCAATTTAGATTATGATCAACGAGAAAATAAGTTCAGATCACGTGGTTGCAAGCAAAATATTGAACCGAGAGTTCATGTTTATGATGGCAGATCTTATTCATCATTTGAAATTGGATGTAATCGTGATTTATGTAATAATGATGAAACACTTTCAAAAATCAAAACTATACTCATCAATTACGGTTTAATAGATGACAATGGAAGACGGATTGCTCAAGGAAATATAAAAATGGTCTCTTTATTATTAATGCTCTCAGCTTTGATTTTTAATATTCTTTATTCTTTGTGAAATAAAGAGCATTATTCCTTTAAAATAAAATTATGTTTAATTATAAATCAAAACACGATTTACCATTTCCATCACCAACTTGAATTGATCATAAGAAGATAAAAAAAAGACAAACGGAAAATCAATGTTAGAATCATACTCAAGTGACATCTCGACATCTCACAAAGTCGAGACAATATTCATAACTGTCACACTAAAGACTATAGAATATTTCATCAAGATTTTCATGATTGCTATTTATATTAATCCTATTTCTAGTGTCTCAAAGAAGAGACGTAACTAAATAATTCTGGTGGCGTTCTTGAAAATTTTATAAAACAGTAAAAACTTGAGAATCTGTGACATGGATCAATAGTAGCATATCTTCTCGATCACTATATATACATGTAATCAATGTTAGGTTTAGTTGTAATATTCTTCCAAACAAAATCCAATGACAACGAAAAAGAAATTTTGAAAAACAAATAATGCATTAAATCGATACTATATATTCAAATGAAAACTATTTTAAGAATTGATGCAAAGAGAATTCACGAAACATTGGCAATACAATGGAAACTAAATGTTCAATCATATTGAATCCATAACATAGTTTTTATACTCTTTAAATCGGATGCTTTTGTTCGTATACTTGGTATATATTAAGGTCAAACTATAGAGGACAAACTATTATATCGTAAATCTCCTGGATTCTACTGCCAATCAAAAATGCAATTAAAGAAAGATATCAGATGCGAAAAGTAAAAAATACTTCATCACACTGCTTGAATCCGTACTCATCTAGATGGTACTCATTGTTTAACACAAGAAGGTGTCACTGAATAGTCACATCCATTGTTATTCTCAGACTTTGTCAAATGCAAGTTTTGACTTAACAGTTATATCAAGCATGATTTAATTGACCAAAGAAATAATAATACATCAGCTTGTGAGGCTTCGACGACACTTAAAAGTATTCCACAACGAGAGTTTAAAAAGATATGTAACATAGTGTTAGAAAAGACCGAACTTTGTATATAAATATTCATAGAAGTCATTTGCACAATGTAACAAAATGAGATTAAAAACATGTCTTGATTATTCTATTTTTATTTTTGTCAGAACTTTTGGTTATCCCCAAGACATTATTCATCGCAGACGAAGGAAACGAAATTGATGTGGACTCAATATTTCACTGTATGAAATCTTTTGGTGGAGTAATACGAACGTATGCAATACTTCAGCATGCAAAAATATACGATGACTGACAACCATCCTTTATCGGGCTTAATCTATGAAAGAATAACTTATCTATTGACTTTGCTTAAAGATAAAAAATCTCTTATGACAGCTGCCGGTTGTTTGGCTTCAATTTTAACCGTAATTCCTTCTTTTTTTTATTTCCTTGGAGAACAAAATCAAAGCACGCATTAAATATTTACTCGATAACGATTGAAGGTATTAATCATTAAATAGTAATACGTAGATGTTGACTAATTATTGAGAATGGCATATATCTTTCAAAAATTCTACTATACCTACAATTATGATATTCGGCATCCAGTACAACAAACAAAATGCATTACAATAAAAATATAAATAAATTAAAAGTTGAAGAGAAATCTTAAAGACAATTCTGATTCAAAAGTTCAAATTTACAGTGACTAGGATAATGGTAAAATGAATGAAAAGATCTGATCTGAAGTGATTGGGTCCTTTAGTTTTTCATAGACATCTCGCTAATGATTTTCGATTAACTAGAAACTCATTGAAAAACAAACGAAATAAATAACCTGTTTTTTCAGATTATTTCTTTTTTCATCTATATGTCATAACAATTTGATTCATATCATAACGTAGTACGCGTTTTGTTTGTCTGACGTTATTCTGTTTCTCAAGACAATATTTATCATCGAAAGGTCTCACGTGTTTATTGATAAATAACCTAAAATCATATTTTACAGTTGCAGACAAAACACAAAAAGTTCACATCATTATTAACTCTAGTGTTAACTAACTGTTCTTTTGGCAGTTATTTGTTTGGTCAAAAATTTTATATTCCTGATGGACGATATGAAGAACGAGTTTCAGCATGGGCTTGCTCGGTTGATTTAACGTTCAGCTTTCAATCGAATACATATTGTGTAGGATTTGCCAATTTCAAGTTGTCGGGGGATTCTCTTTATATAACACTTAAAATTTATCTGAACTATGTCATCAATTATTACTGTTCGACCGGAACTGATTGTGTTCTTTCATATGTAGAGAGCAGAATCAGTAAATTCCTGAGTCGTGGCTAGAACGGCCGAAACATCTATGCTCAAATTGGACTATTGATCGCTAGTCCTTTCTGAAATAGCTCAATTCAATATTATAATACGAAAAATGATGTACTTACATGTCCATCAAATCAAACATGCAGTTTATCCTATGATCACCGAAGAAATAAGATAACATCTTGTGGGTATGGATGTAGGCGTTAATTACGCGTAAATGAATACCAACACCCACACCCTTACCCTACAAAATACCACCTTATGATCTATAGTAGTCGTTTCAGCGGGGGTGTGTGAGGAAGGGTGTTACATAATGCACCAGACTCACATCCACTCCTACAGTCACTCGCACACCGACACCAACACGCGTACCCTCAATGCTGCAGATGAAACTTCTGGACTTCGTTTTTTTGTTACCAACAAATAATTATTCACTGAGTCTGTTAGTTCTTCGAGTATCTTTTTTCATTTTTTATTGTTTGTTTTGTATCCATGCTTTTCATGTACTGCAGAGAACTGATGAGTGTTTCAATATTTGAATAAATAACGCAAAACACGACAGAGAAATTAACTCAGAATTTTTTTAATAATTTTAATAAAACAATATTCGTTTTTTGTTCTTCTTTTATACTCTGATTTCACGACTAAGTTAATTGCTGAAAAACAAAAATTACAGCTAGCAGATTGATTGATCCTTTCTTTATGAGATAGGTGGATTTTTTTATTTATTGATTTACGTACAATCGGATATCAACGCAACCACACTCACACTTTAGTTTGAAAGCAGCTAAAAGAATAATATTGGTATTTTTGAAGCAAAAATATAGCTCAAAATACTAGTTTTTCTTGTGTCTTTGAGTATAACCTTTTATGAAGTTGTCAGACTGCGCCAATGTATCAAATAGAAGTTAAGGAAATTGTGTCGTATCAATACCAAGCTGCCTGGCGTAATTATGCCCATAATAGACTAAAAGTTCCTCTCCAACAGCGATATGCCGAATTGCTATGTAAAAAGGTTCGCCATTATCTATACAAACAACATTATATAAGTAGTTTCATCGAAAACCATGCATGTATGTTATCTTACACACAATTAACATGAGATTTCGTTGATTAACAGTATTTGGACAGTTTATAAATCGAAGCCAATTCGAATTGTTGGGCTGAGATGCATCGATGTAATATTTTGTGTTACCCGAGTTATCTTTAATCTATGCAAACATAAAAGATAAGGTATCGAGCTGCTTCCATTCTTACACTCCAAGCATAGCCACTTGTTCTTCCAATGAGGCTATCATTGTGTTTGTAGCCACCGTAAGGACCAAAATAAGTGCCGTATGGAATGGGACGAGCGGCAAATGCTCCTAGACCCTGATGAAAATAAACTATTCATTTTTACTTATGCAATACCATTTATCATATGTTACTTACAGCATTCGGAAGACTACTTTTAGCAATGAAGACCGTGCCAAGTGGAGTAGTTGCGAGAGAATAAGAATTCGAATTGGTAAGGGAAGGATAAATTACCTAAATATTCTATGCAATGATATGTGTCGAAGTAATTTTATATCGACAATGACATAAAAATAACTTTGAAGATTTAAGATCAGAGAATATAAAGTATTATATGCCTTATGAAGAGAAAACGGAAACAAAAAGTAGAACTATTTTGAGTCTTTTTGGATTAATGATATATATTTATGGATCTTCTACTCTTTCAACTTTTTTTTATGGCTCTTCCATAGTCTTTTGAGAAGATATTTAAGCCCATACTCTTCGTACAAAGAATGCAGCCGATGGCATGAACTCGTCGGTGGAAGCGACAATCAGCTGAACTACCCCAGTATTTCTTTCTTTGATTTGCCACACCAGTGTTCGCAATATGCATAGAAGCAACAATAGTGTCAAGTAGACTTCAAAACAACTCTCGAACTACTAGGAAGGATCTATTTAGTGTAAAATTCTTAAAATTTTCTGCAAAATCATTATTAAATACCCCGATAAGTAAGCTGCTGATATCTGAATTTTTACTCTAATACGTTTTCTCCTTATGGCTAAAGATAGTACTCGATACTCAAATATAGAGATTCTCATTTACAGTATCTATTGCAAATAACTTGCGTGTCAAAACTAATTTATTTTCTTTGTAGACATCAAACTTAACTTTGCCACATATGGTTCTACAGAAAGAAAACAGTATTATAGTATTAGTCGCTATTGGTAAATAATTCTTTAGAAGACAGTTCTTCGAAAAAAAAGTCATTGGAAAACAACATTTTTCACGTGAAACCTTCCAGAATAGGGGTATCAGCGTTCCTGCTTCATCTTCTTGTTTCTAAGGAACGAGAACGCATCTGATACTAGATAATTAGTCTAGTACAGTTTCAACATATCTGGAGTTCTATACATGTTTGATTCACTTTTTACATTAGAGTGTTACTCATTCCCTACTCCGAAGAAAAAAACGCAAATTAACACACCCAGTTCGCAAAGAGGCTATGGAACCAGATTACTAATATTTATTCCTTACTTAAGACGGCTTTCTTACTTGTGCATCAGGAATATGGGTTAATTTATATGCACTCTTGGATTTGGATGAAATTTCTCCAGTCTCTTTGCAATCGTTACCGGATAGCAGAAAGAAAAATGCACACTGAACAACTGTAAAAAATCGATGAGCCATACAATACTCCACTGCGTAACAACAATTTGTCCACCTCTTTTCGAAAATGTAAATACTTTGTAATGAACAAGAGAACGATAAAATTTGCTATTGATTGTGTTCGCAATGATGATTTGTTCTATTTGTAGAAAAATAAAACCGATAGTAATATAATAGCAAATATATGATTATTATTAATAATAATGGCAACGTAGATTATAAAAAAAAACAATGATTAAGTTGAAGATCAATAATAAAAAAAATAGAAGAAAAGAAAAGTGAAACAACACAAAACTAGTTGCATCGAAAATCAATGATGACTTAGTAATGATTGAAAGAAAAAACGAGATGAAGAGAGAATCAAACAATCAATATTACGTATAATCCAATGTTTAGCGGTGATGTACGCCATCTTTTGACGCTCACCGAAGTACAAACAATCATATCACCGTAGTGTGATTTTGAATGGTGAGTTCCCGAAAAAAACAAAGTTGTATATTCGGAACCAGTATACTTGATTGCCTCCATCATTATCAAGATCTCAAGAAAGTGCTTCTACACACTACACAAAAATAGCCGAAAACATTAATAAAGCCGGAAAAAGTGAAACCACCCTGCATAAGATTCGAACCCGTGCCGCATCACATGTAATATACAAGCAGCTCGGTTGTATGCAAAATCATCCTTTTTCTTTGCATCCTCTACTCTTTCTTCATATAGTCTATTAAAATGTTGTCCTTGCGAACATTCATAGTAATAATATCATGAAATGTGATGATATATATGACTGATATTTTAATATGTATGCCACTAGTTAAGTCATTTAGTAGGATGCAGTACACATTGAGGGTACCCTCTTGCATATTCTTATTCACACTCGTACCCATACCCGCAAGTAGTAATATTTATCTAAATAAACGAATATTCATGCATATTCAAAACATAACATTACAACAGAGGTAACTTGTACAAGTTTCAAATTTTTTATTTTGCAGCAAGTTTGAAACTTGTACGAAATACTTGTGTTGTAATGCTATGTTTCGAAAATCCATGACTATCCGTTTATTTAGATAAATATTACGACTTACTCGAACTTAAGCATTTCTTTTTTTTTTTGAAAACATAATGAAAATTTTTCATAGATTCTATTAAATATGAGCGAAAATTGACCTTGATTATTCATCATCACCTCAAAGAAAATAATAATACAAATAGGTGACAGATAGAACAGTGCCAGTTCAGTACAGATAAAATCATGAAAAATCATGCATTTAAACGATAAATAAATGCGAATTTTATTTTTACTCTTTCGAATCCTTTATTGGGATAGAAGAGTGTTTTGGATACTACATGATCGATTAAACTGTATTATGTTAAGTATAGTTTAGACAGCAAAAGAGCGCTCCTCTAACTGTCTGAATAAAATAATCTGTAAAGATGAATAAAGAAGTGTTACAAGTATTAAAAAATCAAAGTAAAATACACAACTTTGAATTCGAAAGACAAATATAAAATTGATTTGGCCAAAATCTAAGATCAGTATTTGAAACAAGCCAATATCGATACGCTCAACTGTTTCAAGTTGAGAATGATTGTTCATCAGTAAGTATTGTACGAAAGTAAGTCATTTCAGACCAAAAAGAACGTTTTTCAGTGTTATCAGCAAGACAAAACAGAGTTTGAATACAACGAAGAAATGATAACTTTTCGAATGGAAATAATAACTCTAAATATATTACACGAGGAAACTGGCAAGCAAGTATATGAATTTCATTTGTATCTATTAAGCGACGTTCAACAACTAAATGATGAATATTTTCTTGTGGAATAGACATCATCGGGCTAACAGCTAAAATTAAAATAGATAATTAGTTTGTGCTTCTTTTTTATAAGAACTTAGAGAAAAGATCTTTACGTGTATCGACATTGAGAATTAATTTAGAGATTCGTCGTGGTAATTGCATATTAATTGGTAAACAAGTTGTAAGTTGATGAACTCGACTAAATTTTTTATTAATATCCAATATTTCATCATTCGTTGTAATATTAACATGTTTGATATAATAGGAATATTTAACATCTGATGTAACTTTTATATTATATTTGCCGTTGATTATAGGTACTTTTCGTTTATCTTATCGATTTGATGGCGATGGGACTGAAAATGTATATATCCATCTAACATTTTCATTTTCATAAAAAACATTCTTCATTGGCCATCGAATGAAATCTTCAACTAGAGTTTTATTATTAATTCGATAAGTCATTATCTAATCAAATTTATCAAGATGAGGCACATGTTTAATTAACATAGATTCCATTTTCAATTCATGAACAAATCTTGAATCAAGTGTATCACGAATACTTAATGTTAATTTACGAAGATTTGGCATATGAATAAGTATAGATTCCATATCTTCAAGATTTATATCACTAGAACTCTCCAATAATGTAAAATCGATGATCAATCGAGAACACAATACTTGACATTGAGATCGATAACATGCTGAAACAAATATAAATCATGCAAATGTCTTTCGTTTGCAAACATAATTCTTCGCGAAAAAAACCTTGTTCTGTAGTTTCATTCTACTAATAAAAAAATATCTAAAATGAAAGATCTCGCACAAACTATAGTTATCTTCTCAGAAGATCGATCACCAAAGACATGATCTGCCGACTATTCTTTGTTGCTATTCTCACATGATTTTTTTGTTTTTCGTATTGTGGTTCTGTTAATTTAACATACTTATTCTCTAACATCTATATCAGAAACTGCACTATTTAGAACATTCACAAGCGTTTTAAAGCCGTTCAAATGTCAACGAAAGCTTTGAAATGTTCTAGAACAGTCGTAGTCTTGTCATTAAGCACTTTTCCTGTTGCTAATAAACTCTGAAAAAGTATTTCGACGCCTGTTGTCGTCCTTCACTAAAGTCTACAATAAGGAAGAAGAAGTCGCAAAACGTTGACTTGAAACTTACACTCATTTTGTGTTCTTCAAAAACAGACAATAGTTGGCAAAAAAAAGAGTTGCACAAAAGAAGAATTTTTTTTAGTCTAGCTTTCAAATTTTAGGAGATAATCATAAACTTGACTCTGTCAGTTATCGTTCGTCAACAAATGGACAAAGAAATGACCTGATGAAAATGTGGTTGTTTTCGTTTTGGATGTGTGAAAGTTAATACATATTATCCTTTATTTGTTGAAACAACTGCTATCTATTACTATTACACTATTGAAGCAAACTCATCAGATAAGCTAGCATTATGAAACGTGAAATACAGATCTCATACGTACTCTCTCTTCATAGTAGCACTAAAAGTAAAATCAATAAAATTGATTAAGTATAAAAAGAGTGTTGATTGATGATGTGTCCTTAGTATCGAAGCAAAAAAGAAACAGCAGTCGATGAATATATTCGTCGTAATAATTAGATTTGACTTAAAGAAATACAACTTAAACAATCCAAAAACAAAGAAATAACCTCAAACAATAAACTGAACAACATAACAGTTTGGATGTAAATCACACAGAAAACATTTAGTCCGAAGTAAAGCATGAATTTGAAAGTAGAATCTGAGAAAAAACATCAAAGATTTTTGGCAAGTGCTGATATTAAATATTATAAATTATTTTATAATATCGTACTCTTTGTGGTCTATTCCGTAAGAGAAAACAATTCCAACAGATGTATATTGAAACAGATACTACTCAAGAATAATGTGCAAGTTTTTTTTTTGAAAACAGTTGTATATGAATTTCACAAAAGAGCTGAAGATTAACATGCGAATGATGTATGAGAAAATGTGTCTTAGAATGTCACATGATCAAATAAGTTTTATTCCTGTGAAGATTTTCTATACTAAAAAGTTATATTATACTTACTTGATAGACGTGATTGATGCAATTGAACGATGAATGTTTCGTTGTTTGGTATAAGTCCACTGAGTAATGCATATAAATCATCAATAGTTTGTAAGATAATATTAAAATGACGAAGACCTTGATGAGGTATTAAAGATCTATATAATCAAAGTCCATAGAATGGTTCAACAATAATTTCATGTAAAGTACACATTAGACTATGAAATAATAATTCACTGAATGTTGTATCAAATTTATTTATGCAATGATGTTCTGAAAAGGATCATGATTTTTTCATTGTTTTCTTTTTACATTTGTTGATTAAAATTATCGAATAATTTTATATTAAAATAATGAAGAATATTGTTTACTATTATAAAAAGTAATTTCTCTTAATGATAAACTCATCTTTGGTGGTGTCACATTTGAGAATAGTAGCATAAAGATATTCAAGTTTTGTAAAGTCTTCATAATGTCTAGCGATAATATCAAAATCAGTGAATGTACAATTGATTACAGTAAGATGTGTCAAAATAATGAATATTGATTGAATTATATTATTACGTAAAAAGAAAAAATAATGTCTATCTAAATAAAATCCATGTTCATTGTTTAATATTAATGATTTAGATCGAAGAGGATTATCTGAATTTAAAAATAATTTTAATAAATAATCACATTCATGAAATGACATTACACCAAGATAGATCTTTGTATAATAATCATGAATCGAATCGTGGAGATACGAATTTGATCTTTCAGACGTATAAAAGCAATGAAGAACACCATATACTGATAAATAACGGTAAATCATCAGGAGAATTTTATTTGGTAAATTGAGTAAACAAGTTACATTACTATGAAAACATTTCACAGATGAAATTTGATCAATAATATCATCAATCATACGTTCCATATCTTTATTGTAAGATTATTGGAAAAAGAATACAATACATATATGAATCAAATGAAAATTGAAATATTGCTTAGAATTTCTTTATGAGTAAATGTTCTCTCGTCAAATATGTTTGACTGATCTGCATACATGATGACCTTGATGCCATTCTCAGCAGTGTCACATATCCAAGATTTTGGAGATGCCACCACGTCTCCCGCGGGAGATGCCGCATCTCGCGCGAGAGATGTGGGTGTGGGTGTGGGGGATGCGCATTTCTAAAGGAGATCTTACATCTCTAGTGGTGAATGACCACATCTCTCGAGTGTGGGTGTCGCGTCTCCCGCTGGAGACGCGGCATCTCCCACGGGAGATGTGGTGGCATCTCCAAAATCTTGGATATGTGACACTACTCGCCATTCTATAATGAACATATGGAATACATATGATCAGTTATCATTGGACGAAAAAATAGATTTTATCAAGAGGTTAGTTGGTGATGAAAACATTACCCTTGACACTATATTTTCCGTGTAATCTTTTACATAATCATTATACAGAAACTTGATCAAAAAGAACTTTGAAATTTCGTATGGGATCGAACCAAAATTCTTCTCGTTTTCATAATTCGTTTTATGTCCATAAGCAACCACATATCATTCACTTAAATTTGATTTGATAAATACTGTTCATTTCTTCGATGTGATAAGACATGGTATACATATGACAAATATATAAGTCTTGTCATTTAGGATGTATTACACTTAAAGCCTTGATGACTTTTGTCTCTACATGTTCTTCATTAGTACTAAATCTCATTTCCTGATCCCATATGATTAGAGACAGTGTATACGCACAATGATCAAAAAATTATTGTGCAACAATATAATGCTTTCTTCATTATAGTGATTGTCATTCGACTTGAATGACAATTTTTACTATATGACCTATAAAATAAAAACTTTGCCAGTCGAACAAAGGATGTTTTTTTCCTTCCAATCAGTTGAGTGATTTTTAAAGACAAAGATAGAAATTGACATGGAACAATACAAAAAAAGAAGAAGAACAAGAATCAGAATAACAATGAAGCAACATATGGAAAAGGTTTATCTACTTGAGGCATGCAAACGTGAGAATAATTATGAGATACAAAGCAGAAGCATATTACAAAGATGAGAAGAGAGCGAAAAACTTATGTTGAATCAGAAAAGTCAATTGATTTGTGAGCCTTTTCAATAGAATAGAAGAGTAAAAGATCAAAGACAAAACATTCTTCCGATAAATCTATCAGTATGAATTGAAACACTCTGATCATATTGTTATGGACCAATGTACCATTATGGTTGTGATCATAACTAGATAGAAATAACACATTGTACGAATATGATATGATAATAGTTAAACTTTATTGCAAAATAGAATAAAACAACGAGAAATTAAACGGACAAACGGCTAACGCTATTCTAAACTGTTCATATTTTGAAGAAAAACTACACGAATGATCAATTATCGTAGGATCTAAAAAAGTGGTCATCGATTTATTTCAAGAAGACTCAATCGTCGTCTGATATCCTCACTTTGTTACGTCTATATATTGATATCAAATACAACTTAAAACATACATCTAAAAGACATACAGCTGTTTACTGGTTCATACTTGAACAACTCCATATTAGATTAAAGAGTTTAGAGATGTGAACAAATGCGATGTGTACGTACCCATCGAAGAAAAAAGTGATGTAACGATTGTATTGGAGGCAAGCGTTGAACTTATAGCTGTTTCAGATGTCACTCTTGGTCTTATTGTTGTTGTAGTTGAAACTAAAATAAATCTCATGAATGTCATCAGTTCTTCATCTCTAAATCAATTACTCATTATATAATTTCTTCCACGAGACTACTAATCAGATTTAGAAGCGTTTGATAGGAATACATTGATGTGTATCGAATAGATTTTTCGTGTCAGTGGATTTTACTGGTATGATTTAGTGACTCATTGGATTTTTTTCTTTGGTGACTATTCATATATGTTAGAACGTTCCCAGTTCACTGATATATATGTATGACCGTTCTTGATATAGTGTGTAGAGTTGTTCTTCTTCAGCTTCTTTCTCTTTCATATAACTGAGTTACTATCTCTACTATCTTCCTTGCATTTCTCCCACATATAAATCAACTAGGAAAATTCACCTTAACGTTCAAATGATTTTTCTGCTTAAAAAGATGTCAATTCAAGTCGTTTATACTTTACAGCTATCCATGGTTCCTTCTGTCATAAAGATGAAATATTTCAGTTAATTAATAATGAATTTAGATTGGTGATAAATACAGTGCTAATAATTTCTTTCATCAGATATCAAAAGACTTACTACAAGAGTTGTTCATGAAAGAGAATTTCTGAATTCGACCATTTCTCCAATCAGTAACAAACAAGTTGCCATAGCTATCGAAAGCGAGACCCCATGGAAAGTTCAGTTGATCGGATCCTGAGCCACGTTCATTTGAACATCCAATCAAGCAACGAACGTCGTTGGGTCCCCATCGAACAATGCGATTATTGTTTTGATCAACAATAAACAAATAGCCATCTGCATCGACAACCACTCCTGTAGGATAGTCGAGTACAAAATTGATCGATACTCCATGACCAGCCATTGTGATTGCATCCAATTGACCGAATCGAAATAATTGAATTCTATTATTTCCAGCATCGGCAACATAGAGATTGAAATTGATGTCGACAAAGATGCCGATGGGAGAAGACAACAAATTCGATGTTGATCCAGCTGTACTATTACCTGCTAAAATCATCGATGTATTTCCATAATCATCAACTGAACATTTAACAATCAAGTGATAGTTCTTTTGAGAACAGTAAATAGTATTGTTGATGTCAAGAAAAAGTCCAGAGCATGGCTCACTAACTAAGAGTACAGTAACACGGTTGGTCATATTGAATGACCATTTGTCAATTTGACCGTTTGAGTAGCCATGGTTGATATAAATATCGCCATCAATGGTAACAAAAACACTATTCGGAAAGCTCATATTAGTAAAAATCTTTGCTATTGAACTGCCATTTCGTTCGGACAAGACGAGAATATGATCGTTTATGCGATCTGGTACGTAGACAGTATTATTAATATCTATGAAAATATCGAAATTGGACGAGGAAATCGTACTGTTGTCGACAACGGTGGTACCATTCGAATTCCATGATGCTGATGAACATAATTCAGGCTGATTAACTGATGGTGCTGTAAATTAAAACACATCTAAGAACTTTTGATGTTGTAAGGTAAGGTGCTACACAGCAATTTGCTTCTTTCAAATTGAGCATAGCTAGTCGGTTTTTATTCCTTTAAAAACAGTAATCTCTTTATTATGCAATCAAATTCGATTTTTCTGGTTCTCATCATTGATCAGCATTCTATATTCTTATTTACACAATAAATTATTAATGATCCAACTTACCACAAGACTTTCTAATGAAAGAAAACTTTTGAACTCGTCCATTCCGCCAATCAGTAACAAACAAGTTGCCATAGCTATCGAAAGCAAGACCCCATGGAAGCTTTAGTTCATCAGATCCTAAGCCATATTGTCTTGAACATCCAACCACACATCGAACACCGTTGGGTCCTGATCGAACGACGCGATTATTGTTGTGATCAACAATAAACAAATAGCCATCTGCATCGACAACCACTCCTGTAGGAAAGAAGAGTGCAAAATTGATCGATGCTCCATGACCAGCCATTGTAATTGCATCCAATTGACCGAATCGAAATAATTGAATTCTATTATTTCCAGCATCAGCAACATAGAGATTGAAATCGATGTCGACAAAGATGCCGACGGGAAAAAACAAAAGATTTAATTCTGATCCCGCTGTACCATTACCTGCAACAATCATTGATGTGTTTGCATCCTTATCTAGTGAACTTTTGACAATCACATTCTTCATCCATTGTGAACAGTAAATAGTAGTATTAATGTCAATAAAGAGTCCACTACACTCACCATCGACATACATGGCAATTGTGCTTCGTGTCGCATTCGGTGACCACTTGCGAATTCGACCTCTTGCACCATTGTCGACATAAACATCGCCATTGTAGGTGACAAAAACACTATATGGACCATTTAAATTACCAGTTATATTTCTCGTTGGAATGGAACTTCCTTCGGGCCATACTAGAACACGGTTATACCAATACACTGCCACATAAACAGTATTGTAAATATCGATAAAAATGCCGCTAGGATAGGTACCAACCGTGCTCTTATTTGTCAAGGTAGTTGCATTTGGATTCCATAATGCAGATTCACAAAATTTCGGCTGATTATAGAAGACTTCTATATATAAAAGAAGAATACAGGCAGCTCCTCAACGAATGTGAATGTTATTTTTAATGATCAAATCACAATTTGTCTAGAAAGCTCTGATTTTTAACATTAGAATCGGCTACTTTTAATACATATATAGAAAGAAATGAAATTCACATTCTTACCGGTACATTCAACGACTTTAATGATGGAAAATATGATCAGAATCCTAAAGAAGAAATCTTTTGTAACTGATAAGAACATGAACGATCGAAGAAGTATCGAATGATAAACGAGTGAAAACGATTCCGAGTTATTGAATGCCAACAGTAGAAAATGCACTCTTTTCAATTAAATCAACACTTACACATTATTCTCATTTGAAGAATAGAAATACAAAAAGAAATGACTTTAAGTCTTAGATACTCCACTCTCAAGAGGAGAAAAAAAAACGCTTATTTTTCTATATTCCGTCAAGTGTTGCTATGCCATTTGGAAAATGAAGTTTTCTTTTTTCTTCTCCCTTTCTGTCATTTTATTGTCTCTAATGGTATAGCAGAGCTTGAATGAACAATCCTCATTAGGGAAGAATAAAAATTAGACAACAACTTTTTTGATAACAAAAATATATATGAGAATGTGCCCTTCATATTTTAAAGGATTTGTTTATTTATTAAATAACATGTATTTAAATAAATGCAAGAAAATGTTTATAATGAATTAATCAATTGTTATTATTTTGTTGTTGTTCTTCGACTGTAGTCATAGTCATCACTGTACGGTGTTGACGATGATGAATTTGAATTTTTCGTACAATTTTTGCCAAGATAGGAGCAAAAATTTTGAGTAAAACTGTTAATCCTCCAAATAGTCCAATAATAGTTGTTACACTATAGATTAGACTAACTCGTTCGCGAATTGAATAATTACATTGCAATGGTGCACATGATAAATAATAATGATCATAATTAACATTTGCTTCCCATTGAACAATCATTAATTTATTGATTAATGTTTGAACAGTGACACTAGATGAAGAAACTAGAGGATCAAGTGATCGAAAAGTAATATTCGAAAAATAATACATATTTTTTAGTACATTAATACATGTTATATTATAAAGACATTCAAGAGTCGATTGAAGAAGAGCTTCAAGTGCATAACAACCGACACGAAAACCAGGGACAATCGATCCATTAATAGTAGCCGATGATGTACACATTGCATTTGTAGCACATGAACAATTATTATTCTCACCATAGAATCGTGATTGACTCCACAATGAATCAGATTGAACATTTCGATTTAATGCAAAAAAATACCAATTCGACATTGTTGATGAAACAATACCGTTACCTTGTGCTATCGACCGAACAGCATCGAGTATACGTAAAAATGTTCGTGGTGTTGATATACGAAATTGAACAATAGTAGTATTAGCTTGTTGTTCAATATTTTCACGCGATTGTAAATGTTTACTAACAAATGTATTTGAATAAAAACGAATTAATTCATTGGATAATGTCTCATTCGCTAAAGTACATAATGAAATAAGCCATTGAAATTGAGATACAATAAATAATCGATAATCGATATAGGAATAAATAAGAGTAGCTTGAGAAAAATAAATTTGATTAAGCCATATTGATGAATTTAAAATAAAATCACTTGAACAAAATTGATGATAATCCATTTTTATTTTAATAAATGATTTGTATTCAATAGAAATATTTTGACATGGACAATTTAATGTAGAAGAATATTTCGGATTTGTTTGTAAATCTTTAAATTGTATTAAAGATGGATTATTAATGATAATTGATTGTGTTTGAATAATTAATAATGTATAAATGATTAGAAAATTTATTGAAATACTAAGGCAAAGAATATAGATACGAGTACCAAGAATTTCCGTACGAATATGATATTCATTATTCCATGTTGCTTCATTTTCGAATATATTGAATTTCAATAATTTATTCTTCAATGATTTCCATACACATCGTATGTGATCGATCAGTCGAAGAGAACGATCTATCAGAAATAAAATAATAAACAGATATGAAACATATTTTATACATATAACATACTTGTTTGTGTGTTAGTTGGAGGTGAGATTTTCGGTCGCATACGATTACGTAAAATACCAACAATGATCGGTAAGATTATTCTCCATGCAATGGAAAGTCCACCGAATAAACTAACTAATATTGTTATCACATACAATGGATTAGGACGTGATAGGAATGTATATGAACACAATTTTGTTGCACATTGATTAAAGTATTGATCGTATTGAATATGATGACCCCATTGTTCGATCATAAGTGAATCGAGTAATACATCAATCGGTGTTTCAGGTAAAAAACGAGTATTACTCGCATTTAAAATAGGTATTTCTATAGATTTTGTTGATATAATATACCATTGAACAATATCTAAACAGGATTGATTAAAAAAACATTCAAGTGATGATTCTAGAACACCTTGAATGATTGAACAACTAATAAATAAATTTGGTATTTCAAATATGAGTTGTCCATCATCATAGGTATATAAACCGATCGATTTTTTACATTCATTATTAATTGCACATGAACAATTGTCAATAATCATTGGTAATGAAGAAAATTCAATACGTGTATCATTATTATTTACATGTGAAGTAGAAAATTTTGTATTATAATCTGCTAAGAACATACCATGATTATGTGTTGAAATTAATTTACGAAGACGTTTAAATTCAGCTACTGTATTTCGAATAAATTGTTGTAATGTTGCATTAGATCGATCGATTAATTCTTCATAGGATAATGTTTGACTAGTGATCAATGATGATCGATTAAAAATTTGCCAAGCATTAGACAATGTATTTTGTATTAATGAACATAATGTAGCTAATGTATTAAAAATATATGGACCAGATTCTTCAAATTTTACTGTAGGATATATATCAAGTGGATATCTTCCACGTGTTGAAATAATCCATTCATCGGATATAAATAAACTTGAACATACCGGATGATATTCAGATGCAAATGAAATAAATGAACCATAGGGTATTATTATTTGATTACATGGACATTTCAATGTTAATGGATATTTTTTAAATAAATTTTCATAGACTACTTTTGAAGGATTTTCTATTGTTACAACTTGTTTCTCAACTTTCGATGCTGTATATATAATAAGAATTATAATCGATAGAAAGAGAACAAGAAGATAAATACGAGTCGTTATTCTTGATGTAGTCAATTCATATGAATCATGACGTGTTATAGGAGTCTTGAATAAATTAAATTCAATCATCTGTATTCGTATCCATAACCATAGGGTATAAATACGTTCAGTGAGAGATCTATCTAAAGGAAAAAAAAACGAGAATTATGTTAATATACAGTGCACAATAACTCATTTTTCCTCTTTCCTATTCTTTTTTGATAGTCAGTGTATTGCATGAAACTACTAAGAAACGTTATATATCGATTAGAAATAGCAAATAAATTTCAGAGAAGAATAAAACATGCGTCAAAATAAAAGATGTTTTTTGTTCAAGAGAGTCATAAAAATGCCGATGCCGAATAAAACATTTCTGGATATCTTTCGAATTGATGGAAGAATATTCATAACAATACTTTTGAGTCGGTGAGTGGGTGTAAATGCAGGTGAAAAAAAACACACACACCCCACCATGAATTGATGCATGGCTGTGTAGTAGTGAGACTTACTTGTATTAACATTTGTTGAATGTCTCGGTCGATTCGTACGTGTACGCCACCAACCAATTGTATGTGATGCAAGAAGACGAAGAACAACAGTAAGTCCACCATAGAGACCCAACAATTTCGTTATTACGTATAATGCATCATTACGTCGTATGAAAGTGTACGTACATGAAATGGGCTCACATTGTGCATAATATGATGAAAATGATCTTATTGTTGTCCAGTCTTCAACAAATAATTCATTGACTAACCTTTCGATAGGATCTTGTGGATGAAATCGTGTTTCACTATTATTTAAGCTATGAAATGTGGTATTGATCGATAAAGAAAAGAATTGTAGCACTGTATTGAAACAAGATGAATCAAAGAAACATTCAAGTGTTGATCGAAGAACTGATTCAATAGGATAGCATCCAGCTACGAAACCGGTCACATTACCCATGGGTTGTGTAGTCGTTCTATATGAACCATAAATAGGAAGGGCATAAACAAAAGGCAGATAGAAAGTCGAGGGCAAGAAGCATGTTGCTCCAAGATTACAATAGCACAAATTTCTTCTAATATCAACAAAAGAAGGACCCCATGAAAATACAGATGCTGTATTATTAATGTCGAGTTGGAAAAAATACGATCGAGATGTTTGTAATGCAGTTTGTAATCGATTACTGTAAGTGGTCGAACGTACGAGACGTAGTAGATTTTGAAAAATATTTGCTGTTGATATTTGTACAAACAAACTTTGTGTTCGAATTTGTTCATCGAATTGTAAACGTGAGAAAACATCTGGTGTTAAAAAATTAGCCGAAAGAAAGTCATCAATTGCATCCGATACTGATGTCAAAGAAAGAGAACAAAGCGATGCAAGTAGTTGAAATTGACCTGTAGCTGATGATCGAAAATCAATTGGATGAAAAAAACTTATATTTGGATTGAAAAGAATACTAATCCATCTATCGGATATAAATGAGCTAGAACAAATAGGATGATATTGAACTGATATGGACATGAATGAACGATAATTCATTAAAACATGTTTGCAAGGACATTGAATTGTTGTCGGATATTTTTTATATAAATTATCATAGGTAACTTCAGACGGATTCAATACACTCACAGTTTCAGTTTGATTTTGTAATGAAGTAAAAGTAATCAAAATTGTGATGGCCAATACGAGCATTAATAGATAGACACGAGTTGTGATGATTGCAGTACGTAAATGAAAAGCACTTGTACGTGATGTCTCACTTTCGAATATATTCAGTTCGACTACTCGTGCCTTCATCCATCGACCTAAGTCAGTCATAATGACTAAGATCTGCATATTTTGAGTTGTTGAGCAACAACAACAGTAGAGTGGGCACTCTTTTCAATTCAGTCAACACTTACACATTATTCTCATTTGAAGAATAGAAATACAAAAAAATGACTTTAAGTCTTAGTTACTTCACTCTCAAGAGAAAAAAAAAAGCTTATTTTTCTGTATTCCGTCAAGTGTTGCTGTGCCATTTGGAAAATGAAACTTTCTTTTTCTTGTTCTTTTCTAACATCTCAACGTCTCTAATGGTATAGCAGAGCTTGAATGAACAATTCTCATTAGGGAAGAAAAAAAAATCGGATGAAAAATGGTTTCTTGAAAACACATCGAGTAAATGATAAATCAGAGAAATAAAGACAACAAATAATGCACAAATAGATTCGCCAAAAATTAGACACGTCTATGAGACTCCACTCAACAATGCGATTTAGGAATGAAATTGAAGTTGAAAAAAAAAAACAAGAAATGTGCATATATTCACGAAGAGGAGAGCGTGTGTGGGTATTAGTCATTTCATCCACCCACACCCACACCCCAATATAATTAAACGAATTCGAATACAATAAAGAAACGACTGGATTTTTTAAATGAAAAACCTATTTTATTATTTATTTATAATTTATTAATACTAAGGTAAATATCTTTTTATTTATTATTTTCGAATTTATTTTATTGAATAGAAATACTATTTTAATATTAAAAAATAAAAATTTTTATTATAGCTGTGGAAACTTCTGCCATCTTCCGCAGTTCTAGCTAGAAGGAAGGACAGCACAGACTATGTGTTCCCAATGATGTTGAAAAAAACACGTTTGTACCTGACCATTATTTAAAAGTTTTCTATTTTGACCTTTAACAATTATAAAATGAATAGGATCTATATTGTATCTAGTTATTTGTATAATGGCTTCTCAAATAACATAACAACGAATTACCAAAATGCTAAAAATTGGTTTGCAATCAGGTTGAACTTAGTAAGTTCATAGTGGATCGATGCATTGGCGGTGTAACGTAAAGTCAGGGTGAGGCTTGAATCTCGCCCAGATTTAGTTCCTATAGGATTAGCCTCAGTCGATTTTATCAATTTGAGACTTAATCGCTTTGAACTTTAGGTTTGTTTGTAATCCCAATCTCATTTCAGTGTGGATACCAAGGGGGAAAAAGCAAAAATGCCGTATTGCAGCGTAATCCTTGTACTTCCAGACTATGTCATAACTGTGCATCAGATCTGTTTAGCTATTTCAAGCCTCTTATCGGTCTGAGTTACAGTATATTAGCTGGAGTCCAGCCTACGTAAGTCTATCTGATAATAAGGCCCATATACTTCACCGTACTTCCACTTTGAAAATACACTGAAGTATTTAGGCTTTAGGGTGAGGGTGACTCATGTAAGCTGGACTCTGACTAATATACCGTAACACAGATCGATAAGAGACTTGAAATAGGTAAACAGATCTGATGCACAGTTATGACATAGTCTGGAAGTACAGGAAGTACGCTGCAATACGGCATTTTCACTTTTCCCCCTTGGTGAATACTGAAGTCTATGACAGTTTTATTTATATGTTGTATTGAAGAAAACAAGAAAATCTGAGACTGCAGTCAAGTGACTAAACGTGCTGTCACACTTCATTGTAGTACTGCTTATATTATTTATATAAGCTGATATGGAAACTAAATGACTCGCAGAATTATGCGCTCAGTGCACACAGAGTGTGGGTGAAGAGACGAAATACATGCACCCCACACCCACACCAAAGGTTCAGGACAGAGTGAGCGCCTGCATTCAAGAACAGCATGATCATCAGGTTAAGGACAAGTTTAATGACCAATAGAGATTACAGAATATTCTATCATCGTCAATATTTTCCATCAATTATTAATTAACTCCTTTGTAGAACTTCTACAATAGAAAGATATATTTCATCTGCTATGAATACTCGGGTGTAGATATCGTAGTTGGTTGTGTTCAATGATATCAGTGCTTTATTAGCAGTTGAGAATATAACAATCTACAATTAGTTTGTTAAAAGAAATACATCCGGACAAATTTTCCATCTATAGTTAAAGTTTTCACGAGAGACAGGTTAGTATAAGAATTGGGAATAAAAAAGAATAACTATAGACTGAATGGGATGCTTGATTATTCCAGCTATCGCCATCTTTGTCGCCAATGTCTAACAGCTTTTCAAAACTTAATGGTTGAAAAAGTTCGAGTCGATGAAAATCAGGTTTAGCACTTTCTACCGGCGCAGGATAGAGTGCTTCGTAGATACGATTATCGCCCTGACCGTGAATAGCATAGGCATTGAAAAGATCGATATGAGCTGGAAAATGAGCTCGAGGAACAAGAGCTCGGCCATACCATTGATCGTATAACAGAGGTTCCACTCGATATTCGGTTAACTGTAGCATGTCTTTGAGTAATTTGCGCTGATCAACCAATAAAAGAACAAGATAATGACCGTGTGGAGAAAATTCAAGTTCGATGTAGTGATTTGTTGATGATGCCAAGAAAAATAGCTCAACAACTTCATACTTCCACAAATTTGCAAACGGACCAGCTGGTCCCAATGGAGGAGGGTCGTTGAAAAATGGTGCATAAATCTCGATAAGTAGCTGGTCGTTTTCAGGAGTTGATGAAAGAAGAAGTTGAACATATCGATTACCGCTGATAGGAATGGAGTTCCAGACAGTTTTGATTGTAAAATTCATTGAAGTACAGATAGTGTAAGGGCATAAAGCGAGCAGAAGCAGAAAACAGACGACGGGAAAGTCGTTTCTTATTATGATTGTCATCATGCGCCTGTTTATCGTGGATAAAAACGACTGAATGACGTCTTTTGTTGATTTCATCGACGATATATGAGACTATTGGCAAGCATGTGAATAAAAAAACAGAACAGAACAAAAAATAAGATATCTAGACAAGCAACATTAATAGTGTCGACTGCTTACGAAACTTAATCTCTTGTATGTTGATGTTTTGCATCGTATTCAGTTTTTATGATTGTGCAAAACGGCTTGTCGTATACCATTTCAATTCATTTGCTCGCTAATTAAGAGAGACTTTAGGGGTGAAAAATTGAGTTCTAATGAAATACAAAATAAACTTGTGAAAAATAATCAACTTTCAACTTTGCTTTTCAGGCTAATAGAAGTTGATTCGGATTTTTTAAGACGTTAGATTCGTAATTTAACACACTTCCTCTATTTCTAATTAAGTATAATATATCATCATAAGCAAATAATACACAAAAAAATCAATAAAGGATATGGATGTAGTCATGGAGTAAAGAGAACAAGTACACTCACACCATTATTGTTTAATAATTTGCAATTGTTAAAATAGTACATTAAATGTCAATATCAATTGTGATTGTAGTAAAATGTTCACATTGACAACAAATCGTGGAAAATTTCATATCTTCAATTAGTGCAAAAATTCAAAAGCTGATGTTCCTTGTAAAGTAATGAAGGAGATTAAAAATAACAATCAATCATTGACATTATCAACTAATGTTCAATTGCCTTGCACTGCTTTATTATCGACGTCAAAAATACTAATACTAAAAATAGTCAACAGAATATTGCTACATCAAGGATAATATAGCCAGAAAGAGCAAGCGCAAAAAAAGCGTGTTAATTTATCTGAATCAGATTAGCTTCATCAGCAACAAAAAACTGAAACACATCAAGATCTTTTAATATGACCAGCATTTTTTATCAAATATTATTTTTCTCTTCTCTTGTGTAATAATCTATGTTGTATCATGCTATCGTTTTTATTGCTCACTATCATTTTTCGTCATGGTTTCTATAATACATATATTTGAGTTAATTGAAACCTTTTAGTTCAAATGGCATGACAAAATGGAAATAGACGTAAACAATATATGAGTAGCACATTTAATGATACTTTGTGCCAAAAATATACCGCAAAAGTTTGTCAACACTTCACTGAATGTAAAGCGAGGTGCGCAACATAAAGTTCAATTTCTACTTAATTCAGTAATTCAATTAATTGTTGTTCGATGAAAAGATTCGATTCTGAGTTCAATTACAATTGGAAATAATGTTTTTGAGTTGGTTTAACTGAACATATGTGTAGAAAAGGTTTCGTAGTACCTTTTTTTTTGTATAATATGAATATTTTTTAGTCGGTTGAATTTTGTAGCATTAATACTTCTTTTCGGCTCTATCCAACATAGTGTGAATATACTGCTTTTTAAGGATACATAGAAATAAGAAAAGTTGTACATTTTTGTATCAAGAAGGTATTTAAACAGTTCTATATTATTCTAATTCTGATGTAATGACCAGATGAGTGTTTTTTACAGCTTGAAGAACGCAGTTATGTCGATTTGATATGTCAATACAACTTGAAATTAGCTTCATTGACTCAAACAATTCTATCAGGTAACCAACTGTATTAGGTACGAACTATCGATTTTATTTTCGACATACGTGGTCATCTTAATAGCCCAAAAATTTTCCAAAGAGTAGTAGATGAGAATCTTTACTTGAACAATACACATCTAACCCGATCCTTGACATGATCTTGGCATATTGGTGTGATTGTATGATTCTCTTTCACGCAAATAGCAATAAATTCTATTAGAGTGAAACAAATAGATGGCAGGGTGAATACACTACGAAACAGCACATTGATTCAAAATTGCATGAAATGAGAACGAGAAGAACACATCTATTTGGTTCGATCGTCGAAAGAAATTTCAAATAAAAAGTTGATCTGACGGAGAAGAAAATTTTCATGCAAACAAATTGAGATTATTATACTGTCGAATCGAAATCTAGAAGCACTTTGAACACTTCTCACTTTTTATTTTGGATTAAAACACAAAATGGGATCTAAAGTTCACATGATCCAATAAGTATATTAGAGAAATATGAATCTTTGTCAAGATGTTTTCTAATTTTATTGATTTATTTAATTCTGTCAATATGATTAAAATGATTCTCCATTG